AGGAGGCAGTGACAGGCCACCCTCATCCCAGGAGGGATAGCTGCTTAGCTGCTCCTGGGTTGTCAGGTGGGCCAGAGAGTACCTGGGCCAGGTGGGGTGTTCTTGTGACCTGGTCTCTGCTATCCCCATTGTCCCTCAGATGAGGTCATCGGGCAGGTGCTGAGCACACTCAAGTCCGAAGACGTGCCCTATACAGCAGCCCTCACAGCAGTCCGCCCCTCCAGGGTATGTGCCCTCGCGGTGGGGGTCTGGGGCACATGCGGAGAGGCTGTGTGGTGACCATGCTTGAGGGGAGGGGCTACAGGCAGGGCTCCCAGGAGGCCCAGGGTCAGGGTCTCCCATGGAATGAGTAATCAGGGCTGGCTTGTCCCTGTGAGCTGTGTGACCCTAAGTTGAAGGAGTCTGGGCTGGCAGGGAAGGCTTCCTCTCCTTGACTGCTGGGCTTCTGAGATGTGGGTAGAGTGCCGGTTGGGAGAGGAGGGAGGGCACGACTGCTGGGTCTGGGCTTGTTCTCTGGGTTGTTGAGAGAAGGGTATTCCTGCAGGTGGCTCGTGACGTGCCTATGGTGGCCAGTGGGCTGGGTCGCCAGCTGCTGCAAAAACCACCTGCTTCGGCTACGGTCCATCCTCCTGTGAGTTACAATGACACCGTCCCCAGGATCCTGTTCTGGGCCCAGAACTTTTCTGTGGCCTACAAGGACCAGCGGGAGGACCTGACCCCTATCACTTTTGGGGTGCAAGAGCTCAACCTCACTGGCTCCTTCTGGAATGACTCCATGGCCAGGTTGGGGCACAAGGCGGGCTGGGCAGGCATGGCTGTGGTCTTGATAGGGTGTGGCCTTCGTGGGTGCACATGGTACATGGGTGAGGTTGCTAGGGGCCACGGACCAGGAGCTGCTCAGAGCTCTGCCTCACTACTCTCATTGGTCCTTGGTTGGGAGCTTGGTGAACAATCTTCTTCATAGTCATCCGAGCACCTGGCACCCCTGCCCCTTCAGCAAAGCCCTGGGACTGCATGTGGGTCACTTCCGGGGCTCCTTGGTGACCCCAAGAGGAGCAGTGGGCTCCCCTGAGGGCTCTCCTACACAGAGGATGGACCCCTAAGCTGGAGGTGCTGGGTGCTGTTCCCAGCTCTCTCCCTGACTTAGAATGTGACTGGAGTCTCAGTTTTCCCACCTGTCAAGGGAGGCACAGTGCCGCTTCAAGTGGCTGCTTAGGGAGGAGCAGAGCTGAGGAACTTGTCCTCTACTATGAGAGTCAAGGCCCTCTCAGAGCCTGACAGCGTACCTCTCACTCTGGTTCGCAGACTCTCACTGACCTACGAGCAACTCTTCGGTACCATGGTGACATTCAAGTGAGTCTTGGGGCAGCCATACTGTGGGCAGGCCAGCATGGCTCCAGTCTCAGCTCACCAGACACCCCTGCTGCCTCTCCAGGTTCGTTCTGACTAACCGCTTCTACCCAGTGTCCGCCCGCAACTGGTTTACCATGGAACACCTGGAAATCCACAGCAATGGCTCCGTCATCTACTTCAATGCCTCCCAGGTGACAGGGCCCAGCATCTACTCCTTCCACTGTGAGTACGTCAGCAGTGACAGCAACAAAGGCAGTCTCCTCGTACCCCACAAATCGCCCTCGGACTGGCACATCACTCTTCAGGACTTCCAGGTGTGGAGCTGGGATGGGCTGAGCTTTGGCTGGGGAGCCCAGGCTGGTGGTGGCAGGGTCCTGAAAGTCAGTGTTGACTGGCCTGGGCGTGGAGTTGGCATTCCCATCCCTGTGTTGCTCCTACCCTGGGAGACTGGGGCTCTCATTCACCTGGGAACCCCAGTCCTTGGTGGGCCTTCCAGCCATGGGGCCACATGGTCCTTTCTAATCTACATTTGCATGTTCTCAGATCCAAGCCTTCAATGTGATGGGTGAACAGTTCTCCTACGCCAGTGACTGTGCCGGCTTCTTCTCCCCGGGTATCTGGATGGGGCTACTCACCTCCCTGTTTATGCTCTTCATCTTCACCTATGGCCTGCACATGATCCTTAGCCTCAAGACCATGGATCGCTTCGACGACCACAAGGGCCCTGCCATCTCCTTGACCCAGATCGTGTGACCCAGTACCCTTGGGGGGAGGGGGTGGGGTGGGTACAAGGTGTCCAAGTTGTGGCTTTCCCCTCTTCCTACTGTCGCATGAGTCCCAGCTTCCCTCGGCCTGTCTAGCCTCCTTTTCAGCCAGCTGAGGGGCTTCCCTGGGGTGTCCCCATCTCTACCAACAAGGTGTACATACTCTGCATAAATATTAGATAGCTATGCCAGGCTTGGTCATTGTGAGCAGTAGAGGACTTTAGTTCTAGAGTCCCCTTTCTCCTCTCTTCCCTTATTTATTCCCTTGCTGTTTATAGCGCTCCTTCCCCAAGCTTAGCAGATCTCCCACTATGGTTCTCTGAGTTTGGGGGGCTGTGTTTTGGTGATGTGCTAATAGGCAGTACCCTGGGGTTTTGTTTCTGTGGCCTGATAAGGAAAGGACCTGCAGACAGGTGGGCTGAGGGTTTCTGGCACTGTCCACCGGGAATGCCTGCGGGAGGGAGCCTGGAGTGCTCGGTTGTTTCCTTCCTGATAAAATAAAGACCGTCACCATGCCTTGGGCCTCTTGTCGCTCATTTCTGTACTGGGACTTGGGAATGCACTGGGCTGAGGCCCGAGGAGATGCCTGGATGCAACTGATCCAGGCCAAGGCGAGGGGGCGCGGAAAGGCGAATCCAGAGCCAGGGGAGACCACAGGTTCTTTGGCAAGCTGGGGTCCTAAGAGGGTGGCAGGGGGCGCTTGGGCTGAGCCCCGCGTGGCTTAGGTGCCTCGGGGAGACCATGACAATGGCAGCCCTCGAGTCGCGAGGGGCCCGCCT